ATTAGGGTGCATTCATCGAGTGACAAGGGCTGCTTCTTCCTGAAGAACGTGTAGAATTTGCTCGATACTCTGCCCAAAAACATAACTCGAAGTCGACAGTAGAGCTGTGGTAACATAGACCGGAATAGAAAATTATATGCCAACCTCTTCCACGCAGTAAAAAGACTGCATGGTTAACACAATGAATAGCAATTACCAATACAGCTAACAGAGAAAATAATGTTCTTAGTGAATCAAATTAAAAATATTGTTTTTCTTGTCCTCATCATTCTGTATACCTTTGTTGAATGATTGCAGTGAAAATTTCACAGTCAAAAAGATTGCAAATAATATAAACAAGAAGTATATTCAAATATGTAGCCCATAGTAGCGGAATGAACAATTGGTAGCCATGTCCGTCTATCGCACAAACCTTTTTCATCACTTTTGACATGTACCATTTTGTTGAAAACGTTCCCTTTATAAGTGTTAATAAAATCCTGGGTCTAAGTTATCGACATCACTAGCCAGCCTCTCACAGACCATCTAATTTGCTTGCAGGGAACATTGGTTATTTTCGAAGATCCCAAAAATTGCCAACATGTACTATGTCCTGAGTCAGGACGAAAAGCTTACATAGCACTTAGCATAATACGTGTAAATAATGTACAGTCAAGAGTTTAGATGGCTAGAGACGTTAAAGATTATTATTAAACATCAGTTAATATAGTAGGTTCATTTTTATGACTAGACATAAATAGAGCAGATTCGCTTTATGCAAACATAAGCTACCATGGACAACGGATGGTTTCCACTATGAGGACCACGCTTCAATTGAAGACGGCTCAGATAGAATATCAACCTTGGATTAGGCTGCTATGCCCAGAGCCAGGTTAGTATAGCCCTGTACTGGCAGTTAATGTGTGTTCATAGCTGGAGAGAAATATGGGCTTTAGTAGCGAAGATAGAACAAATCGGTTCGTCGATTATTGACTCAAGGTTATCGGCCGTCCCCGCTTTCTACGTCATCGTCGGCAGTTTCGCTTCTTTTCCCTCACACGGCTGCAGTGCTACACAAACTGAACACTCTATGCGTACGAAAGAGCCTTATATAGTACTCCTAGCTGCAGGATACTCGCTGCCTGGTGTTTACAACACTCCGTCATCCAAGCATTAATATTGGCATCGATACGCCGACTAACCATACGACAGCTTTGTCCTTAAATCAAGCCTCTTTCTTAGCAGATAATAGCTAGTGCTAAACATATTACTACTACCTTAGGATATATTATTCTAGATTGCCCCAGAACCTAGTGTTAGGCAATGGCGTGTGAGCGCAAACCTAATTGTTTTGAAATTTAAATATTTTTCGTGATTGGAGATAATATCTTTTTTTTTTTACTTCTTTACTTTATATAAATCCTCCCACAAGCGTCGTAGATTTATTGTTTATAGTAGTTGAACATGTTCAGGAAGATTATTACGACAAACACTACGAGCACAGCGCGAGTTTTCTGTACTGTGTATCTTCATTTTTATCCGATGCTGTTTTATCTTTCGCGTTCGTATAACGTAGAGGAAAAGTATAGAAAAGATGGGGGTATTCGCCGCGAAGAAGGCCGTGGCAAAGCAGCGTATTGGTTGTGGTAAGGAACCAGAACAAGCCGAAAAAGCCAGCAGGCCATAGGGAAAAGCTTAATGAGAGCTTTCCTCTCGGGGAGGCCTGACGAAGGTTCCGAAGCCACAGTTTGCATCCAACGAGCATATCAGCAAATAAAACCAACATCGGCTCAGTCGCTCTTCGCGACTGGCCTGCGCTCGTGCTGCTCACACATTACTGGAGTTAACGTAGATTAAATTACATACAAGTAAAACGTCGACACGGAAGGAAAGGGGCAAAGATCCGTTTTCTTTATTACAGGACGAGAACGTGACATCGCATCATCCTTAACACAAGCTGGTTCTCGCAACGTTTACCACAGCTAAGCTTAGCGGCAGAAATAATAAATGACCATCCCATAGTAGGCATTTAGTTCAAGGCAATGCGTTTAACGTAGCTGATAGGACTGCAACCCTTACATTTAAGGACCGTTATCTTTTTCTTGGGATTTAAAGACCGCTTCGTCGATTGGAGGAAAGAGACAATTCAATTTCTACGACTGTTATGCAGATGATAATAAGAATGCACCTGAAATATAATGGATTGCAGCGCAACTCGTGATGTACGTCTGGCTCGTCATGATGATTTCAGGAAAAATACGCTGACTACAGAATGAGTAGATTCGTGAGGCGACCTCAACAACAGCATCTATCGTGAATTAGTTGTGAAGCTTCTACGAATTCATAACCAAAATATCATCTGATGAATCTTCTCTGAGCATAAAATATGCTAGCAATTAGCTGGACAAAAAATCGTGCATTTTTATACTATAGTTAAATAGAACGAAACAACCCTTTACAGTATATTGCTGATTATAACAGTATTTATTATAATAAATACATAAACCCTATAATTGACTGCCATTTCAATGCACAGCGTATAGAGACTGCTAACACACGTTCTCTTGTTTTATAGGGTAACTTTCGCAGGAATCGCAGTTTAGATTCTGTATCGGCCATGTGCATATACAAAGAATTTTGAGAGTACATACGATACATTGAAAGTCTTCGTGATGGTAGTATACTGCTTTTCAAAGGAAGACCTCATGGGGTGTTTGATTGCTATTGAGTGGCTGAGCGAGGACGCTGCTGGCAAAAGGCCAGCTCCCGTCGGTATAGTAGCGGTGGGCTGAACGGTTCACAAACAGGCAGGAGCACAAACACAAAGCTGAAAGTGACCGTCTATGAAAAGTTATATTAGCAACGATCAGCATATGCGCAACGTTTTACATTTGATAACTTGTTGCCCACTTCAGAGCTAGCGACGTGCTCTAATACAAGCATGAGGCATCACCCTGGGCTAGAACGCATATCGTTCTGCTCGACTTTGTTTGTCGAAGGTTCTATCCTATTGTAATCGGCATCATCATAGAATCTACCTATATTTGGTTATTGAAAAAGTACTCGCTCTTCTTAAGCCGGAATTTAAGCAAATGTTCTTTTTAAATATAATTCAAAATAACGCTGTAAAACCAAATATGCACCATTCTGATCGATGACCTGCAACCCTTTTCCGGGTAATACCGCAATATTATCACCATAATTTTTTTCAATCCCGGCCGAAAAATTGTAACAATCTCAATTGAAACTAAATGGACGACATTAATTGAGTTAAAATAAATTAAGGGAGTTCTATAGAGACAGACCGAAAGAGGTGGTAGTAGCTTGATGGTGCAAGCTCTAGGCAGGCCAAAAATCGTAGAGCACGCTTGATTTTTTTTTATTGCACATTATTGTTGTATGTGATTTATCTCCCATTACCTGTGATCAGTTGTTGTAAAATCCGATTTTGTCCGGAAATACGATAATTCACGTGATATCCAAACGGTGAGTTTTTTTCCAATGGTGTTTAGTATGGCAATACCATGTCTGCCCACGTAATTTTCTTAACATTCACAATAGCAAGTAATCAACATCTTCTGTAATTAGTCGATCGCTACAACGAGCATCTTCTATATTGAAATTTCTAAAAGAAAAGTACCAGAAAGAGTTGCTTCAAAAACGTATCTTAACCATAAACAACCCAAATATTTAATAGGCATTCATGCCTTTATCCAAATGTAATTGTAAAACATAGTAATTATTGTAGAAGTTTTATCGTAAGTATGGATGCAAGCATTTCAGCACATGGTACTTCTGCCAAACCTCAGCTCTCAATGCCAACCCAACGCCGACCCGATGCGACTCAAAATACCCAAAATTTTTAAGTCATTTAACTGTGAAAGTGGTCAATACTTTTTCAACAACCCAAGAATTAACCTTAATGCATATATTTAAAATATAAAAACTGTTTACAAGGAATCACTGGCTACAGATAGCACAATAAGTAATAACACCAAAAACAGTAGTCGAAATCGATAGGCGTTATAGGATGTCTCTGCTACAGTAGCTGTCGGTACCTAGCGGTCGGTCAGCAGCTGAAATGATAACCTCTGTGTAGCCAAGGATAGGCTGCTTATCGGTAAAGAATAACCGAAATAAGAGTAGGTGGCAGAATGATGCTTTGTACTGTCATAATAAAAATAGCAGAACTTTGAAAGACCTCCACCGACAACATCCTAAATCCAATACTTCCGAAGAAACACAATCCCCACGTTATATGTGCATATTCTGCGTTTCTTCAACTTACGTTAGTAGTGCTGCACTTTCTCTATCTTTTGCGCTCTCGTAGCGTTCAATTTCTTATTGCCAGATCCATATTCTGTACTAAATATTAGGTCCAACCACCCGTGTCTGTTACTTCAACTAGCACCGATCCATTTCAAACTAGCGAGGTACTGTATAATCGGATATTTGAGTCGCCAAAAAAGTGATCATCTGATGTTGTTATAAAGGGCTTTAACTAAGCACCTACCCTAATTATTGGGGATACCATTACCAAGGAAGTTAATGGATAGGGAAAGCAATAAGTACGAGGCAGTAGTGCATATAGGTACACACAAGTTGAAGGGTCGTATTTGCTGTTGTTACAATTGATTATTAGAATTTGTGGTGTTGATACAATACATTACCTTTAGGAAAACCTCAAATTCCTGATGTCCACGAAAACTTTTTATTGTAATAATTAATCACAAAGAAATGGCCTAGGGCACTACCTATAAGGCATACAATAAGGTCGAACAAGATGAGGCTCGATCAGAACCACTTGTATATACAATAGCAGGAGTTCATCGCAGGAGGGAGTCGTATATTAGAAATCGTAAAACCATTAAAGTAATGCCTTCCTTCCCTGAAGTAACACTCTTCGTGTTGTCAGTTAAAATAACTGTCGAAAATTTAGGATGATTGAAATCTAGTTAGCTATACCGGAAGCTATTGCAGACTTAAACCACTACAGCGCGATACTCAAAAATGTAACTTACCAAAGATCGGCTGCCTGCAACAGATGAGGACAATGGCTATTGGTGCCACGAGGCATCGGCTAATACATCTGGTCCCGCAAAGCCTGTTAGTAGAGATCATCATTTTGGTTCTTGGCTAAGATGATCGAGACCAGCAACCAACTGCTCCGTATTAAATCACGGTCTAATAAAGACCATATTTCCATCCAAAAGCTACGAGCACATCGTCGCTACGAACTGCACTGTACTTTGTTTTCATCAAACGGTACGGGCTTGCCGCACTCCAGACGAGCCAAGAAGGACACACCCCACTGGTTTGCTCTAATACGAAAGAATTGCTAACAATTGTCAATTTGCTAACTATTAGCCAGTTCGGCCAATAAGACTGGGTTCTGGTCAAAACGCGGCCGGCGTTTAATGAAAGATCGCTATGACCAAACGGTTTCTCTTCTTCCTGTTAACTGGGTAACCAGTAGACAAAAAATAGGCATCTCACACTGGCACATGGCAATACAGTTACCGATGACAGTACCCAATGACGGAAACGACGTGCCTAGCATAACACAACTACTCATCCTAATGATTTTTCAACTAGCCAACGCAGCACGAGTTTACGGGATCTTCTTCATGCTGTGCCTGCAATCAAACCTGATCGACAAATCGAAAAAACTTGGAAAAGTGACCACACTGCTTAAATGTTGAAACGACAGACTGTCGAAAGCGCTGTAAATTTTGACTTTTTCCGTCTTGTGTTAGGGGCTGGTCGTCGCTGCATGCGAGTACAAACAGAAGTGGAGAAGATTCGCAGAAGTAGCACCAGAGGTGCAAGTTGGGACAAATCAAACATCAGGATCTATTTTTTGAGTCATTTAGTGGCTTTATGATTAGGTTAGTGCGTTGTTGTTGGTCCAGCAAGCGTACCAGGGCTTTTTTGTTTTTTTTTGGAGGTTAAGGGCAAATGCATTATGCAGACCGGACATCATCGTCTGTGCTTTGTCCGGTACTGTGGTACTCTCACCCACTAGGACCCCTTTATCAGCTTGGGCCATGGTTCGGGATATGTTTGATATTACTTCGAAACCATGACTTGCAGGAACGGTCATTTCATCATCCTTCCCTTTGAGCCGTTCCAGTCCATCCTCCATTCCGGCTTTCCTCTTGACCATAAACTCTGGGTCTCGAGGGGAACCGTACTCCCTGTACTTCCGCTAATTCCAGTTGTTGAGCATCGGGCCCATGATTGTTTCGGGTATGCCGTTCATCTATTTTCTTACGTCTCATCCTTTCTAGTTGTTCTTTTCTTTTCATAATATCATTAAAGAAAGCCGTAACTTTGGCCCAGTTCATCCTGTCCTTTGTCATCATATTCACCATCTTCTTAGTACTGTCCTTTGTTGTTACTTCTCTGTGTACCTGTTTGTCTCTGACCACACAGATGTCCACTGTCCATGACCAGACAAAACTTGGCGTACCAGGGCTGAGCGAGGTTAGGCGCCCCGACGTCGTCCCGATTGTGACGACGTTGGCCGTCTTTTTCGTAGTCGGCTACGAAAAGTTGAGCATAAAACGCTACCGACGACCGACAAAGATAGAGAAGCCAAGGAAGAGAAAAGCATCGAATTCGTTTGCCGGGCGGATTGTGCTGTCTTGCATGCAACAGTTGCGACCCCGAGGGAAGATTTTCTCAATCTGCGCTTTAAGTAAAGAGGCATACGCAGAAGTCCCTTATAATAAATGGTTTCCATCGAGCTTCCACTGATCTGGCGTTGCAAGAGCTTGTGTGGTAGGTCTTCTACACCCATCATGATTCTCGGACTCTAATTGATGTGGTTAGTTGGTAATAGTACAATACTAAGCATTAAAATTAAACTGGGAGAAAGGCTTCAAGAGGAGACTTGGAAATTTCTAGCGGGACGAAACAGATAAATCGCCTGAGAATAGACGACGTCCGTAGAGCGTAACGGCAACAGTACTAATTCCCTAGTAGTATTCGAAAAACATGCTGAAGAGAACGACCATTATTTTGCGAACGCTTAAGAAACGTTAGGGCTAGAGGTCACGCAAGGCTTCACTAGAGAAATTACGAAGTAAAATGACACTTGCATCTACCACAAATCAACTTCGTGCTCCTTTCGAGGGAAGGCACATTTAGAGTTTACTATAGTGATGGTCGGGATTGTCTTATGAAGGTGTCCCTTAACCTCCAAAAAAAAGTCTAGGAATCGTCTCTAAAAAGAAAACTATATAATTAAATTGCTTGGCAGCTATAACGGAAATGGGAAATCATCTTCAGATGGAAAAAATAAAAAGATAACAATGCAATTAAAAAAAACAAAATTTTATATAAAAGCCTTATGTTAGGTGTTTCCGTGTATCATTAACCATAACAAAAAAAAGCCATTGTTACTTTTCAAATTAAATGATTGTTTTTAGGAGCAGAAACTAGTTACAAAACAAACCCGCAACTTCGTTAATCTCAAGCAAAAGATCTAGCTATTCTATTATTTGACTTGATTTTTTGCTGACTTGGTAAATCCAAACATTTAAATTAAATTTGTTGCAATTTGCTTTCTTAATAATCACACCGATTCACATTACTTGATCATATTCTCAAATTTTCAACGATGTTGGCGAAACGCAAATTTTATTTGATTATCATTTGCTTACACCTGATACACCAAAACACACCGATAATCGTTTTAGTTTCCATGTAGCAATATTCTTACGGTTCTTGAAGTTCTGCCGAAAAGCAGGCTCGTCCTTCAAAGAGTAATTCATCCGACCTGTCGCGAATATCGGCCACTCGAACAAACTTACAATGCAAAAGGTAGATCGCGCACGACCAATTGGTCCTTCATCTCAATGAGGTTTGCAATCACTCTCCGTTTGCACTTGTTGCACATAACACGGAGTTGACCGTGTTCTTCCTGTTGAACGACAGCACATCCCACGCAATAGGCGTGTCCGCAGGCAGCAATATATAGACACGTGGACAAAACATTACATGCATCGCATGGTGTTAGTCGGCGGCCGACACTGTGTTCTTCCTGTTGAACGACAGCACATCCCACGCAATAGGCGTGTCCGCAGGCAGCAGTATATAGACACGTGGACAAAACATTACATGCATCGCATGGTGTTAGTCGGCGGCGGACACTTGTGTTCTTCCTATTGAACGACAGCATATCCCACGCAATAGGCGTGTCCACAGGCAGCAATATATAGAAGCATGAGTTCATCGGCCTGCCGTTCCGGAAGAAGACTGACAGATGAGTTCACTTGGCGGCCGCTGATATCATATAATGCAAAAATGCACCTCTTCTTCATCGGCCACGGTGAGAGCGACGTGTTATTAGACATGGTCCTGACGGACACGTCGACATAACACTCATTGTCATGTTCGCTGATTTGATAGAAGAATCCGCAGGCGTATCCGCACACCTCCCAGGGCTCAACGTTACTCGTGATGGTCTTCTGTCTCGACTCCTCGTGTTCGTCTATGATCTTCTGCAAATCGACCCAGAAGTATTTCCTGGTTGCTACGCCAACCAGAGTGCGTAGTTGCAATTTCAGACTTAGCACCTCATCGCGTAAACTGTGAAGTAAGCTCTCCGCTCCAAACGGACCATCTATTGATCCTTTTGAGGCTACGTCAGTCACATTGTGAGACTCTGCAGACTCCCACAGATGCTCCTTTATTTTCTCGAGCGTCCCCTCCCTTCCGCGGGAACACACGAAACGCATCTGTCGAAGCAAACTTGGCTTTATCTCGATGAGATCAGTAGTGACTATTTTTTTGCATTCGAGACAGAACGCCTTCAACCCTGCACCTTCTTCCTCTTTGTGAACAATTGCGCATCCAGTACAGAAGGCATGCCCGCATGCGCAGAGATTCACTCGTGGAGAAAATATGTTGCAGGCATCACAAGGACCCGACCGGGGCGCAATGCAAAAGTAGATCGCGCACGACCAATTGGTCCTTCATCTCAATGAGGTCTGCAATCACTCTCCGTTTGCACTTGTTGCACATAACACGGAGTTGACCGTGTTCTTCCTGTTGAACGACAGCACATCCCACGCAATAGGCGTGTCCGCAGGCAGCAATATATAGACACGTGGACAAAACATTACATGCATCGCATGGTGTTAGTCGGCGGCCGACACTGTGTTCTTCCTGTTGAACGACAGCACATCCCACGCAATAGGCGTATCCGCAGGCAGCAATATATAGAAGCATGAGTTCATCGGTCTGCCATTCTGGAAGAAGAGTGACAGATGAGTTCACTTCGCGGCCGCTGATATCATATAGTGCAAAAATGCACCTCTTCTTCATCGGCCACGGTGAGAGCGAAGTGTTATTAGACATGGTCCTGACGGACACGTCGACATAACACTCATTGTGTCATGTTCGCTGATTTGACAGAAGAATCCGCAGGCGTATCCGCACACCTCCCAGGGCTCAACGTTACTCGTGATGGTCTTCTGTCTCTACTTCTCGTGTTCGTCTATGATCTTCTGCAAATCGACCCAGAAGTATTTCTTGGTTGCTACGCCAACCAGAGTGCGTAGTTGCAATTTCAGACTTAGCACCTCATCGCGTAAACTGTGAAGTAAGCTCTCCGCTCCAAACGGACCATCTATTGATCCTCTTGAGGCTACGTCAGTCACATTGTGAGACTCTGCAGACTCCCACAGATGCTCCTTTATTTGCTCGAGCGTCCCCTCCCTTCCGCGGGAACACACGAAACGCATCTGTCGAAGCAAACTTAGCTTTATCTCGATAAGATCAGTAGTGACTTTTTTTTTGCATTCGAGACAGAACGCCTTCAACCCTGCACCTTCTTCCTCTTTGTGAACAATTGCGCATCCAGTACAGAAGGCATGCCCGCATGCGCAGAGATACACTCGTGGAGAAAACATGTTACAGACATCACGAGGACCCGACCGGGGCACAATGCAAAAGGTAGATCGCGCACGACCAATTGGTCCTTCATCTCAATGAGGTTTGCAATCACTCTCCGTTTGCACTTGTTGCACATAACACGGAGTTGACCGTGTTCTTCCTGTTGAACGACAGCACATCCCACGCAATAGGCGTGTCCGCAGGCAGCAATATATAGACACGTGGACAAAACATTACATGCATCGCATGGTGTTAGTCGGCGGCCGACACTGTGTTCTTCCTGTTGAACGACAGCACATCCCACGCAATAGGCGTGTCCGCAGGCAGCAATATATAGACACGTGGACAAAACATATTACATGCATCGCATGGTGTTTGTCGGCGGCCGACGCTGCCCACTTTTGGGTGGCTTTTTTCGGTTGAGGCAGGCATAGCGGCGCCAGGCAGGTGCTTGCTGGCCTGCAACTGGAACAAACGAACGCTACGATCAGGCAGGAGTGTCATGTTTGTTGACACCGATGGCGACAATATGTCCTACATAATTATAATAATGACAACAAGTTAACTGTTAAATGTCGCCAATCATTCCCAAGCTGAAATAGGTATCTTAATTGACTCGCTAACAAGTTGACTAACAAGAAAGGTTTATTTTATGACTTTTCAAAACAAAAATTTCAAAACAGATGTTGGCCAGCATTTGCGGTGTGTGGATGGCCAGGTTTTTATAAGTGTGGTTAAAGAAGAGCCACAACACGTAATATGTAGTTTCAAATAAATTAACAAGGGTACGTGTATAAGTATAAGGTATAAGTAACCAATGGTAACTCGGAAGTAATCACAGTAGGTGATTTTTGTTAAAAGCAATACACACAAAGGGAGAGAAAAACCCTGTGTTTTGCCAGGCTTTCATACAGTGTTTAATCATGAATGCAGACAACACACGGCGGCACGCATCTCTCGAAAGCCTTTGTGAATATATCTTGAACGTATGAATTGTTTTGACTCTAACGCTTCTATTCCTACAAATTTGTTAACAAATTATTAGAAATGATCATTGTTCTGTTATCGTTTCAAAATATATAGGAAATGATTTAGAATATCCACCACAGTAAAGAAGCTTCACTACATTAACGTACAAAAACATCGCGGCACTGGCGTGCATCTCCAACAACAATACTTTCAATCTAACGACGATCGTGCATTTACGTTATTTAAAAAGAAACATCCTTCACAAGTATACACTTGCTGGGTAAACAGTTCCAAAAACCGTTGTTAGGCCAAAGCGAATAAACTCTTGTTAACTGTAGTAGGCTCAATGGTTACGGGAATTCGTAATGTGCCCCACGCAAGAAAATCACGATGAAGATCACCATGTCGCTGAGAAACTGTTGAGCGCAGTCTGAAGACCTATTGTCGTTTACGATTTCATACCTGAGACATAGGCCATACACCATGCGCCCGTGAAGAAGCTCGAAAGTTCCGGAAAGTTAAGTTGCTTTTTGCTTTGTGACAAGTTCACCTTACAGCATACAGGAAGCTGAAGTTAGTTGTCACCACGGTATGGATTTGAAAGGTGCAAATAAATGCCTTATTGATCTATGCATCTAATAGCTTTGCAATGCGAACCGAATGGTTTTTTTACCCTGTCGCAATAGTGCATGGGACCGAACTGGGCCTATCCCAAATGTTGACATCTTAAAGAATGCATAAGAATACCATTTGTTTCGTAACAAGAGAAGAGCATTACTTGCAAAGTTGATCACACCCCACTGAATCTGACGGAGATAGCCTCACACAGTGAAGATCCCTATCTTCGTTTAGTCGTGCGATGTTTAAATTTTTCAAAGCAACACTAAACATTAGCATCGGTTCCCATTTCTTAACAATATCAATATCGCACTTACGCTCTAATCTTGAAATCAGATTTGTGTGCGTCGCGGCAGGGACGCTTCGTTGTATCAAAACAGATGAATAAGACAACACTGTGTGTGTTAGATTCCGTGATTTCCCGAAACATATATAGCATTTTGACCGTAGTTTGGGATAATATTTCCTATAGTTCAAGTTTTGTCCAGATGCCAAGCTACAGCATTTTTCTGGTCAACCAGACTGAACGACTATTACATTTAGATAGCCTGAATTGAAATACTGTAGTGACTGTAAGGTTCAATCGCCAATTAATCAAAATCAAAAAATTAATCAAAAAAAAAAAAAAAAA